TGGAACTGTTTTGGGCATGGGACTATGCGTGTGGTCGGTCAAAATGTGACTTCCATGGAATTCCTGAACCCCTGAACTGATCTGGATGCATTTTGGATATGTTGGTCACCCAGATCAGGGCTGTCAGGGGATGTAACATTTGTAAGGGTTTTCTGTGTTTTCGGGGTAATTTTGGGGTTTTATAAAATATGTGTTTTTTCTGCCTGGAGATAATTGAGCTAATAGAGTATCTGACTCAATTATCTCCCAGGCAGAGGGGAGGGATTGCATGCTATGTGTGGGAGTGTCATGCATTGTAACACTGTTATTATTGGTCTGTGACTTTGTACCATAGTTCCCCACAAGGCCCATGGGGATTGTCATAAAAGGCCAAGTGTGGCACCATTAAATCAGTTCCTCTTCACCCTCAATATAGAGCCTAATCTCATGTGTGGAGGGGACAGCTATATTTACTCTGGGGATTGCTATACTCCTTATACTCCCTTGGATTATAATCGCTAGCTCTTATGAGAGCCGTTCCTGCTATACTCTCTGGAGTAGGAGAGGTTCACTCACTGGAAGCTGGATCCTGGTATTGGGTCCAGGGTGGGTGGAGGACGGTGAAACCCCAGCCAAGCTGTGGTGGCTAAGTGCTTATGGTGTCTGGTGGATTGCTTGGAGTCCTCAGTAAGCACTAGGAGCATCGATTGGTGGAGGCATCCGGTCGAGGTGCCAGGCGGTCTGTCACAGAGCTTCACATATTTGCAGTTGCACAAAGTGGGATACTGTCATGAGGCTTCTGACCTGATAAACATTAGTACTCATAGTGAGTCTTTCTTGTTATATTGTGATATTGACCTCAGTTTGATCTTGAGTATTTCTGGTATCCTGACTGGCTGGTTATTCCATTTAGCCGTATTTCTATATTTCTGACCTCGGGAAAAGGAAGCAGGCGTTTGTAAAGATTGACCAGTGTTTGGGAAGTCGAGTGTCCGAATTTTAGTTCCAGACACTCGACGACCAAGTCCCGCTGCCTCCTTTCACAGGGAGAGCACTTAATAAACTGTTCTCTTTGAAGCCAGGGGGGTGGTCGGTGTTCGGTAGTTTCAACTACCGAACCAAAAAAAGTCAAAGTCCAGGGTAGTTTCATCACAGGCGGCTTTTACATTGGTACGAAAATTACAGTTAAAACTATTTCAACTTGCAAGTTCTATTACATGTGTAGAGAACAGTTGTAAAGCTTGTTTCCAGCATTAATATATTTGTTTCAACCTTATAACTTCTAGATTCATTAGATTAATATACATTAGGATACATTTAAAGGGTTACAAAACTTGAAAGATAATATTACCTGGAAATTATAGACCTGTGAGCTTAATTTATGTGGCTGGAAAAGTATTTGAAAGGTTATTAAGGGATAATATTTAAGAATTCCTTGAGAAGAACATGGTTATCAGCAAAAAACAGGATGGTTTTATGAAGCACAGGTCATGTCAAACTAACTTGATTGCATTATATGACGAAGTAAGTAGAAGTATAGATCAGGGTGTTGCAGTGGATATGATCTACTTAGATTTTGCTAAGGCATTTGAAACAGTTCCACACAACAGATTAGTTTTCAAACTCAAAGAAATCGGTCTACATTGGCTTAAAAACAGAGTACAAAGAGTTGTCATTAATGGTAAATTTTCAGGCTGGACAGAGGTGGCAAGTGGTGTCCCTCAGGGTTCTGTTCTTGGACCCCTTCTATTTAACATGTTTATAAATGATCTTGAAAAAAGCATTGAAAGTCGTCATGTTTCAGTGTTTGCAGATGACACAAAACTCTCTAAAGTAATACAATGTGAACAAGATATTACCTTGCTGCAGAGGGATTTAGATAGACTGGGGGACTGGGCACTCAAATGGCAGATGAAATTTAATGTTGAAAAATGCAAAGTCATGCACTTCGGCATAAAGAATGCACGAATGTATACCCTTAATGGAAGCGAATTAGGGATAACAACACACGAAAAGGACTTGGGAATTGTTATAGACAACAAACTATGCAACAATGTGCAATGTCAATCAGCATTGGCAAAGGCCAGTAAGGTATTGTCATGCATGAAAAAGTGCATTCATTCTCGGGATGAGAATACTATTTTGCCTCTTTATAAATCACTGGTAAGACCACATATTGAATATGCTGTGCAATTTTGGGCACCTGTTCTAAAGAAAGATATTCTGGCTCTAGAAAAAGTGCAGAGGCAGGTTACAAAATTAATAAAAGGAATGGAACATATCAGCTATGAATAAAGGTTATCAAATGTAAACATCTTTGGTTTAGAAAAACATCACCTGAGAGGGGATATGATAACATTATACAAATATATTCGGGGCCAATACAAACCATTGTGTGGAAATCTATTCACAAACCGGACTTTACATAGGACACAAGGTCATGTGTTTAGACTGGAAGAAAGAAGATTTTGTCTAAGTCAAAGAAAAGGTTTTATTTACTGTAAGAACAATAAGGATGTGGAATTCTCTGCCTGAAGAAGTGGTTTTTATCAGAGTCCATACAGATGTTCAAACAGCAACTAGATGCATACTTGCAAAAGACAATATTCAAGGATATCATTTTTCAATGTAGAGTAATAGCTTCTTGATCCAAGGATAAATCTGACTGCCATTCTGGGGTCAAGAAGGATTTTTTTTCCTAGTTTGTTGCAAAATTGGAAGTGCTTCAAACAGTTTTTTTGCCTTCTTTTGGATCAACAGCAAAAAACAAATGTGTGTAAGGCTGAACTTGATGGACGCAAGTCTATTTTCAGCCATGTAACTATGTAAATATCACTGAGCAAAAATGCATATCGTCGATGTGGTTGCTGTAAGTGCCACGAGTCAAATGCCACTAACGTCAATCTATGCCGGTCAATTTGAACAGACTTCGAGAAACTAATAATAAGGCTGACTTCATCAAAAAAGTTCGGGTTCGTACCGAACATTAGGTTTTTTGGACCCCGAACACGGACATATCACTGTATGTTCGGGTTGGAGTTCGGTGTTCGGCGATTTAATGGCGCGTTTTCAAAGGCTGCAAACTAGTACTTTAGTGGGGTGTGTGGTGTATCACGAAACTCTATAAATTATTATGTACGAGTGCACTTCATATCTGAGAGTCAAATAGAAGCTTCAAATACCACGGTTACATCAGAGTTTTAAAAAGTACATTTTTTTTGGTGCTAAATAGTACATTAGTGGGGTGCACTTCGTATCTGAGAGTCAAATACAATCGTCAAATACTGCTGTCACATTTCAGTTTTAAAACTTACAATTTTTTGGGTCCTAAACTGCTAAATAGTATTTTAGTGGGGTGCACTTCATATCTGAGAGTCAAATAGAAGCGTCTAATAGTGCGTTTACAGGGCAGTGGTAAACATTCTTATTTTCTGTGTGCTAATCTGCTAAATAGTACATTTTGGGGCCTGCGGTGCACTTCATATCTGCGAGTCAAATAGAAGTGTCTAATAGTGGGCTTACAGGGCAGTGGTAAACATTCTTATTTTCTGTGTGCTAATCTGCTAAATAGTACATTTTGGGGCGTGCACTTCATATCTGAGAGTCAAATAGAAGCGTCAAATAGTGCACTTACTGAGCAGTTGTAAATATTCTAATTGTTTTGCTGCTAATCTGCTAAATAGTACATTTGCGGCCTGCGGTGCACTTCATATCTGAGAGTCAAATAGAAGCGTCAAATAGTGCACTTACTGCGCAGTTGTAAACATTCTAATAGTTTTGCTGCTAATCTGCTGCTTACATTGGAGTTTTCAAAATTCAATTTATTTATTTTTTGGTGCTAAATAGTATATTTGGGGTGTTCACTTCAAATCTGAGAGTCAATATTGATTCAAATTTACTACATCGGTCACTTGTAATTTTGTTTTACACCTACAACACTTGTTACACAGATCTAAGTGATAGAAAACAGATTGATATTTTCTACACTAGAAACGACCAAATAACAAGCTACTATATTCAAACCAGTGATCAATAGCTAAGAGGTACTTCAACAATATTGTAATTCTGGGGCAATACCCTCACAAGTCAAACTGAGAGGTCAGTTTATAGGGAAAACTGTTGCCTGGAGGAAATTCTAAAACAATTTCCATATGTCCTTTGCAGACTTTACATGCTGGAAAAACACAGGTGCCAACTGCTGTGGCTTTCTGCAGTGTGCATACCGGCAAGGAGGGCAGGGTTGAGGAGTGGGTGGAAGATGATGTGGAGGATGATGAGGTCCTAGACCCCACATGGAATCAAGGTCATGCGAGTGACGTGTGCAGTTTGGAGGAAGAGGCGCTGGTCACACAGAGGAACCAGCACAGCATAAGAGGGAGCAGGGTGCAAAAGCAGAGTGGCTCGAGAATTACCAGTTATCCAAGTAATACACGTAGCGATCAAAGGATCCATAATAGACTTGAGCGAAGTCGATCCATTTGTAGTTTCACAGTGAGGTGGGCAGTCCGGTGACCAGGACCCAGACACTGTCTTGGCGGTGGTCGGACGACCGGGACCCAGTATGCCCGATGTTGAAGTTAGGAGTCACAGTGTGGAATGGATAAGCAGGGTCTGGTGCAGGGTAACCGCACGCCCCCTGGTGTTGAGCACCAGTGTTTGTGCAGCCACATACCAGGACCCTGTTGCAGCTTCAGTAAAAAGAGTACTTGATACTAGAAGCCATCACCAGACTGATCCGCAACTTGGAACAGGATGTGACATTCACTGTAGCGGCTGAGTGCGCTTTTGGCGTTGTCACCCTGCTGCTGCTCGCCTGTATGCTCTGCAGCGTAACTTCAGCCTTCCCGCTCACCACCTCATGAGACTGTGCGAGCAGCAACAGGCGATAGTGGAGTTTCAGCTGCAGCACGCACGGGTCAGTGGCTCTGCACCAAACTTTCCTCCAATTGATCAGAGTTAAAAGATTTCAAGTGGACTCATTACAATTACATGGCCTCTAAAGAGTCCTGTATTGTTATTTGTCGTCACTACCTTCCCACGTTAGGAGTGGGTCATTTGCGCGCCTGCTGCTTTCCTTGCATGTGGTAGCCATTTCTCAGGGTCCCTGTATGGAACGGAACCCTGATTCCCCGTTACCCGTGGTCACCATGGTAGGCGCAGAAACTGGCATCGAAAGTTGATATGACATCCGCATGCAAAGTCGCCACCACGGGGATGTGCGATTTGCCCGAGGTTCTCTAGAGTCAACAAATGTTCCTGCGCAACTATAATGTCAACAGCTACTCTGCGAAACAGAGTTGTCTATATTTATGTGTCCCAATATTTTGGGGGCTACTCCAATTAAAATATATATATATATATATATATATATATATGTGTATATAAAAACAGTGTTGGCTACCTCATCCTCCTGCTCCACTGCCATGGTCACCGCCTCCTCAACCTATGGGTCACTTAGTATAAACTATGTACACAATAGCAGAGGCTTGTGAAGGCCCTTTCTCCATGCTTCAGGAGTTGAGCATTTCTCCATGCATCAGGACTGCAAGAAATGCACCGCAGGCTGCAAATGTTTCTTTTGTTGTATGTCCCAATATTTTGTGGGCTACCACAATTACAAAACAAAACAAAACAGTGTTGGCTACCTCATCCTCCTCCTCCACCCCTGCTTCCACCTACACCGCCATGGTCACCGCCTCCTCAACCTATGGGTCACTTAGTATAAACTAGGTACACATTAGCAGAGACTTGTGAAGGCCTTTTCTCCATGCATCAGGAGTTGAGCATTTCTCTATGCATCAGGACTGCAAGAAATGCACTGCAGGCCGCAAATGTTTCTTTTGTTGTATGTCCCAATATTTTGTGGACTACCACAATTACAAAAAAACAAACAAAAAAAACCCAGTGTTGGCTACCTCCTCCTCCACCGCTGCTTCCACCTACAACGCCACGGTCAGCGCCTGCTCAATCTATGGGTCACTTAGTATAAACTAAGTACACATTAGCAGAGGCTTGTGAAGGCTTTTTCTCCATGCATCAGGAGTTGAGCTCAGTTTGAACAATGAAAGAGAATACCCTGCACTCCAACCCTCTCTCAAATGGATAATTCTGTTGATCCTCCTGACAGCCATGCTTTAGATTTTAATTTATGATCTTCCAAAGCTAAAATCAGAGATTCCATCTAGTGCTATTTTATGGCTCAGTTGTATTTTTTTATTTTTATGTTATTTTTAAGTGATTTCCCTATCCACATTTGTTTGCAGGGTACTTGTCCTACTCTTACCCCCATTTTACTTGCTTTTGCAGCTCTCTAGCTCTTTCCAGGAGTTTTTTAGAGGCATTTTTGTGGCCAAAGGTTCGGGTCCCCATTGACTTCAATGGAGTTCAGGGTCAAGTTCGGGGTCAAGTTCGAGCCCGAACACTGACTTTTTTTTTCGGTCAAGTTCGGCCGAACCCGCCGGACCCGAACATCCAGGTGTCCGCTCAACTCTATATATAATGTAGGTATTGGAAATACCTACCAACAATTTCAAAACCTAGGGCTAGTTACTGGTAGAGCTATTTAGAGACTAGTGCTACCTATTTTTCTTGTTTATTTGGTACTGTCTATTTAGATTTTTTGTGCGATAATTAGGCGATAGTCTCCCTTTCTTCTTTTTTTAAATGTTTATTTTTATCATACATTTATTTTCTTTTTTCACATTATTATTTTCTTTTCATTTTTCTCACTATTACATATTTAGCACAAATTGGGTCAAAATGCATTATTCTTAAGTTAATGTGCTATTCGTAACTACATATGAATAAAAGTTAAGCTTTATCTCATAAAAGTATTAACCCAATACTCCTTTAGTACACTCCAACCTTTCTTGTTGTGTTGGCATAATTAATGAATTCATTATTGTGTTTGAGAGATGGAAGGGGGTATAACTGGAAAGAGGAGAGAGAACATAGAGGCGAGAGATACTGAAGTGTGGAAATTCAGAGAGCAAGGATGATAGAAAAAAATCACATTTAATTCACACACAAAGAGAGGCCAAGAAAATGCCACATTGCATTAACACACAAACCCTACACTCACGCAGACTCTGCCTGTGTCTGTTTGTGCTTGTATGTACTTGCCTGTACCTGTGTGTACCTGTATGTGTCTATCTGTGCCTCTCCGTGTATGCCTGTATGTGTTTGTCTCTATGTTTGTGCATGTATGTATGTATGTGTGTCTGCCTGTCTGTGTCTGTAAGCAACTGTGATTGTGTCAAAAGGTGTGTTAAGGGATTCATCTGGGTAAGGGCCATGTGAAAGGGGTCACCAAATTATTTTTGTGCTCACGTCCCTGGTTGATGATCCACATGGAGACGTTAGAAAGTTTGAAGACATCAAATGATTAAAGATAACATTATTAACTTTATGAATACATATACTATATGTTAAGAGTGAAAGTGGGTTATTTTGACTTTCTGAGAATGTGAGGCAACATTTACAGAAAATACTTGAATGTGGAATATAGAAACACATTTAATGACATGGCTAAACAATAAACTTTGCAAATGGCTGTAAAACTACATTCTACAAATGTCAAAAGGACAAATGTAATATGTTTTGTTTCTTGTACAAATACAGAAAACTTTTTACATTTTTTTTACATTGTTTACATTTTGGCATTTGTTGGGAAACTTAGCCCTAAAGAATCAAATTAGACAGATTTTTATTAAAATAAAATAATTTATTCATGTTTTCAGTATTGTTCCATACACTTTCATTTTACAGGGAGAGGTGTTTGTCAATTATTTATTAAATTCCAAAAGGGCCCGTATCGAATGGAGCAAAACCATCCAGCTACATATGGAGCTATTTAGACTGCACAATCCGGACATCGTTATTAGAATTAATCACTTCTTTAAAGCCTTTACTGTCAATACACTCTGATTGGTTGGTTTACTAGTCAGCCATTCAGAGTGCTCTTGGTCATATTGCAAATCGTGGGAAAGATTCCCATGCTTTGCCATACCTATCATAGCGTGGGATGCCTATAAAAGTGCTATCTGCAATAGGAGCACTGTGGTGAACCCTCTATTGATGATGATTGAGAAAAAAAATTTGCGGTGCCATTTTTTTTATTTCAATAGTGGCATCAGGAATTATGGATTTTTATTGGACTTTTTGGGGCTGAAAATTTGAATTAGAAGAAAGAAGACATCTAATGGTAAGTATAATTTTTTTAAACATGTGTCAGATTTGTAGGCCTCTTCCTCACTATTATCAGGGTGAGGGTATAGTAGGGACTTAATTTTAGGGGTGGCTAGGGTATTGGGGAACATTAACCACCTGGTGAGGGACTTCTTGTTATTTGGGGTGGTTGACAATGGCAAGTCCAACCCTTATTTTACAACCCCTATTTTACAATTTATTTTTGCCCCCATTTGCCGGCATGTGTGAGGGCCAGGGGAAGGGATTGCAGAACCCCCTTAATTATATATGTTAGGTCCCTCACCCACTGTTGCTTGGATGAAGTAATTACACTGCGCTTCCTCCCGGTTCAAAAACAGTAGTGCAGGGGAGAGAGAGAAGGCAGATCTCACCTTGAAGAGGGGGACTGACTAGTGTCCCTGGTGGGGAGATCAAAACTGTTGCAGGATATGGAAATATCTCACTGTGAGGAGAAGAGCTGTAACTCTCTCTTTGCATGGTCTGACACTGCTCCCCTTTGCAGAGAGATGATTCACAGCTCAGATTATTACACTAAGGTGACAGGGATACGTGGACTCCTTGCTGAGTTGCGGCATGGCTTCCTTCCAGCTGCCCTCTGACTGCCGACCTTCTACAATGCACTAAGTCATGGAGTGGAGGTAAGAGTGACAAGGCTTTGTTATCCCATTCTAGTTAGAAATATGGTGATATTAATGTGAATTTACATATCTGTAAAAGTGTCTGTGACACTGGTGACAGCTGGGAGATTGACACTTCTAGACGTCGGTAGCTCCATCCAGTTTATGGAAGTGTCATGCATTGGAAAAATACTGAGACAAAGTTTATTTTGACTGGGTAGGGTTTTTTAGTGCGAATACACAAACAGATACACACACTGACATTCACACACACATATGCGTACCCTGACAAACACGGCACACAGTTTGGGAACCCTTGATCTAGGTTATTACAGTTTATTTGATGTTCAAAGGACTATAACAGTTCATCAAAGACTAGTCATAGATTGACATGAGCATCTGCTGAACAATGTGGACTCTTGAAACATGATTATGTGCCTTGTTTTTGGGGCATTATGCCAAAGTATGTATGAGACAAACTAATGTCAAGTGTGAATGCAACAACACTCGTGGGAATTTATACATATAAGCTAAAATAACACATGCTAATGACACCGGTTCTAATAGACACAATTGTATTAGAAAATATAGGTAATTTTTCTTTCTCCCAATTATCAGAAACTGGTGAATACTTTATTATTCTGAAAATGTAGAAAGACAACAATTGCTAGGTCCGTCTCATATATAGTTGAAAAAAATAGTCAGTTTCATCAAAATCAATCTTTTGCACATTTGTTTCTACAGTTGATCCAGATGAGAACCCCAATTTCAAGCCATTTAAATTGTCATTCAGAAAAAAGGGAAAAATAGCCATAATTTGACTCTAAAGTTGCAATCATATTTCTTCTCAGACCTACAAGCTGTCAATATCAGATGAGCTTCAATAGTTCTTCCACTATCTGTTTTGAATTATATATACATTTTTTATTTTCATTTTTCTCTTGGCAGAGGATTACACCTCTTTGTGTTTCTTATTCTAAATTACTCTTTGTGTTTTTGTTAATGTTGGAATATATTTAGATAAGATGGATATGCAATGTCACCCTTACCTCTGCCAGACTGCTAGATGAGATTGTTGGAAAAAAATAGGGCTTAGCTCAGTCTTTTGGCATAGACTACATGCAGAGAGATAATTTTGCAACAAGTATCTTCCGTGTGCTTAAAGGGACACTCCGGTTTTCCAACACAACGTTAATGCATTTGATAGATTTTGGCCTCATTAATATGCTGTATTGTTTGCATATTTTAATTTTATATATTATTTTACAGAATGTGGCAACATAAGCCTTCCTCTTTAGACACATCCTCATGCCAGAAAGACTTTCTTAATAAATTTATGCACACAGCTCAGCCCCCAAACGCACTGAGTGGGCTGTTTTTATGTCACAACTTGCTGCAGACAGTCAGAGAAACTACATGTGACAAGAGCAATCTCGCCACATTGCATTGGAGAAGCCTGGTTGCTCGCCTGCTGCCTTTGGACTATGGCCCCATGTTGAAACGCTTGATTTTCCCCTGCGAAGACACGAGAGCCGGGTCATTCGGTGCTGGCCCTGTTTGAGCGGTGATACCCCAGATAGCTATGCCATGGAGCCCATTCGT